GTGTTGTTAAAAAATTAAAAAAAAAAAAAACAATTTACGTGTAAAATTATTTTATGGGGAAATGTGAGGTTGAAATTGAGTTTAAAAAAAAAAAAAAAGAAAAAAAAGTAAACCTTACATAGGCTAAATTATCTGATTTTTGAATGAAAAACCTTCAAATCTGATTTTTGAACTGAGAATTTAAAAATCATTGTAATTTCCACTTGTAATTAACCTATTACACTGTCATACATGAGATCTAAAACTTTGATGGCAAGATGCAGCCCACAACATTTATTAATAAATTCTAGACATGTACATTAAACAATGAGCAATTATTCAATTATGGCAAAAAAGTTGAAACTTTTGTTATGTATGAATATCAATTTCCAATATTCCTTGTCTACATCTTCTGGCTCTCGCAGTCTCAGTACCTACTTCACTTATTATAAGTGCAATTAATTGATGTAAACAAATAAATAATTGAGAATATCACTAACCATTTGCAATTGTTTTATATGTATGATTGCTAATATTTACTATTTTTTATTCCTTTCAATAAGTGTTTGTGTCTATAAATTGCATGTCCGATACCATCAAAAGCCTCTTCCTTCTTCTCCTTACCTCATTGCATAATTCTGTGCTAGTTTTCTTTTTTCCTCCTTATTCCATAAATTCAGTGAAAATATTATTTTGAAACTTTGATGTGGAAATGTTTGTTAGTGTTTGAGATCCATGTCGCCAGTACTTAGTGAAATCCTCCTTTCTGGATTAACTGTAAACTCGGCCCTTCGTCGTCGTTCTCACTTGGTTCAATCTTTTTCTGTTGCCTTCCTCTACTGGTTTTATGTTTTCTCATGAAAAGTATAGATAGTTAATTAGCTTTTAATTTATACTAATTATAATCAAATACTAATCCACTTTTTTTTACTTATTTTTTCTTGCTAAATACCCATAAAAAGTAGTATTGTTTGAGTATATACTATGGCTTCTCCAAGTGGAACTTATTCAGGATCAAGCTCGATTCATAACTCTTCTGAAGACAATTTGCAGCATATAATGGATCAAAGGAAACGCAAAAGAATGATTTCGAATCGCGAATCTGCACGTAAATCACGCATTAGGAAGCAGAAGCAAATGGATGATCTGCTGGCTCAGTTGAATCAATTGAGGACTGAAAACTACAATTTGCTGACCAACATGAATGTTGTTACTCAGCTATACCTGAATATTGAGGCTGAAAACTCAGTTTTAAGGGCTCAGATGGGTGAACTGAACCACAGATTACAGGCTCTCAATGACATAATCAACTACATGAACTGCACAGAAAACACTGTTGCTGAATTTGATGAAAATGACAATATTTATGCTTATAATGAGCAGATGATTAATGAGGAAGATTTCTTGAATCCATGGAGTTTGCTTCACGTTAATCAGCCAATAATGGCCTCTCCTGATATCTTCATGTACTGATCTGATTCTGAT